TTAACCCAAAACGCAAATTATGCTCCCTTCGAACTGGTTTTCTTTAAAATACAAATCTTTGTAATCCCAGGCTATCTGTAATCAGAAGCACATTTATAACTGGAATATAATTTAATTTCATTCACATAAGTAACTCAGATATTCTCTTGTAAATTAAAAAGTAATGCGTTACTTTACTAGTTACTTGAAAAAAAGTAATCTGATGACGTAACTTGCGATACTTGTAATATATTACCCCCAACACTGCACATAATCCATAAAGGATGTGACATTCACATGTGAATGAAATTAAATTATATTCCAGTTATAAAATGTGCTTCTGATTACAGATGGCCTGGGATTACAAAGATTTGTCCGCCATCAAAATGATACATTTAATTATTCTGGCTGCTGTGAGAAAAGGCTATAAACTATCCGCCACCTGCAGGATCCTCACATGCAATAGCCTAGTAGCTGGGGCTGTAAACTATGTTTACAGACGTGACATAAAGACGCAGTGCCATGCTCGAATTTCCCCCCAAAACCCCTACCACTCAAATTTAAAAAACATTATTAGATAACCGTTGTGAATCGGGCTAAAGTAAGGCGATAGTTTCGAACACTGGCTGGTTATGTACTTGCTCAAATATTGATTTTGGATCGTTTTTAACCAAAAAAAGTTACGGACTGCAGCTTTAACTGTCATCAGTAACAAAATGATATCATAAGCAGCGTTTATAGATTAGTCATTTGGATCATTGCAGCGCCATCTGCTGGGCGTTTGTGTAAAGTCACGACATCAGGCATTTCTACTGGTTTTCAACCTCACAATTTTACACATTCGTGAAATAAATTAACCTTGTTTAATAGTAACCAGTATGGGATAGTGGAGGAAATGTTTTCTCCTCTCACATCCCACAGACGAACGTTAGTAGACATGATGTATCCTGTTAAGCGTAATGAATATACATTAAAAAAAAATAATAATAATAATAATAAAATAAAAAAGTCAAAAGTCAAAATTTCTGTTTCCTGTTGTTGCCCCATAATGGCCTAATCTCGCTTATAAAGAACTTCTCTAAACAAGGGCGGAAGCACCAAAAATGGTCAGATCTGCTGTCCCGAATAACGAAACTTCAGTCCCGCATGTTCTTGTTCTGCTATGCGTAGGGCTTAAACTGAGCATTTATTGGCCTTTTTGTGTGTTTGTGAGTGAAACCGTATGTTTAATTTGAGCTTTCTTCTTTTTACAGCACGGTCATAATGTTTTCCACAGTTCTTCTGAGCCAGATCATCCTCACACTGTTCTGCCAGGCACTTTGTTACGGTAAACTTTAAAACACAGTCTGAAAACATAGCGTATGTATGTATGCTGCCACAATTGTGTCAAATGTAACTCTATACACCGTTATTTTCCGTGTAGCCTCATGTTTGTGGCCCCCAATGATGAAAATGTTGTGAACTATTAGCTATAGGCCTACATCAAAATAAGCGAGAAAAGCTGATGATTCGGATAACAATCCATTAATATGATAACAAATCATAATTTGACATGAATTGTTACTTGCTCTCCTCAAACTTCATTTTGGCATCCTTTATATATTTTACACAGTGTTTTAGTGTTAAACCACTTTTACTTTTGCAAAGCTGCTTCTGCTGTGGTCATTTGTGATAGTGATTTCACCCAGTCTTTTATTTTCCAATCACTGTAGAGCCCACAAAGGAGGACTTGAAGTGTTTTAATGACTATGAGACAGAAATGAAATGCAGTCTCTCCTCAAAGCTGCTCTGGATACAAGCTCGACATCACACATCCTGTATTCAATGAGTGAGTGTTTGTCCAGGCCTGTAGTTCCTCTATAACTAAATGTATTGCTGTTCATTTAGCAATCAGTTGACACAAATATCTCTTAAAATGCAGGTTTAAAAAGTATACATGCATCTTTGAGAGAAGTCATCACAGTGACAATTGTGAGTGCAAAATTAAAGTGCAAGGGTTTGTTGCAACAGAGATCTTCAATACTACACTTCTGGAAGGAACAACTGTTTTATTAAGCGAAAGATTCATGACGTCAGACTTCAGTGAGTATAAATGTTGTCTATAAGCTCTTGTTAATCCTTCTCTATGACATTTGTTGAATTTACATGCTTTTTAGCTCTAAATTTATTTAAAAAATATAAAAAGTTTAATCCGACCCTATGTGTTTTTGGTTTTCTGTAGTCAAACCGAAATCTCCAGTCTTATCAGTGCAAAAGACTGAAAATGGAAACTTTAATGTAACTTGGGATGACCAGTATGACAAAAGTGGTTTGGCAGGAAGACATTTTTTTGAATCCTTGAGGTTAATACAGATATCCAAGACAGTGCCGAACACCGTGGGATCCTTTGAGATCGTGGCCAAAAATCTCCAGCCAAATACCAACTACATTCTGACAGCAACAATGAGCTCTGACTATAATGATCATAGTATATCTAGTGACCAGAGCACAACAGTTGAGTTCACCACCTGTAAGTCTATCTAGATTTGTCTCAAATTCATTATTGCATGTGTGTTAATAGTCTTAAATAATCCTGATCAATCTACTGTATATGTTTTACAGCCTTTTATTGTTTGATGCACATTGAGAGTTACATTTGTTAATGTAAAATGTAAAGTTAATATTACTATTTTTACTATTATTGCCGTGTCAGTCTTGTATTTTTTCCACCGTTTTATTTTTTCCACAAAAATAAAAATATACAGTATATATTAAACAATGTTGTGGGTGACACTTTTTGTTATTTTGTTTTTTGTTAGAAATGCCCCCAGTCTCACTTAATAGCTGTGATTGAAATTTTAATGATTTCAATCATAAAGATACAATCCTGATATACAATAAATGTTTAAATTCAGAGGCATCAAAATTTACACCAACGAAAGAAAAAAGTACTGGAAATCCCAAAATGATTTTATTGATATTTTGATGATTTTTTTTTCCTCAAAGTGAAGGGCTTCCTTTTCACGCTTCTTTTTCTCAGGCAGACTCAATCGAGAAGTTCATGAAATTCATTACATTGATGTGAGATTCAGTACTGTGGTAATAATCGCTGAATTATACAAGCACTAAACTATAATGTGGACAAATAATAACCAAAAGACAGTAAAAGTACTATAAATATACTACATTGTAATGGTCAGTGAAAAGGTCCATGTAAATGGAAATACATAGGCATGAACACATTTAATTTATACATAGACATGAACACATAATAATAATAATAATAATAATAATAATTCTTTATTGAAATGCCTTAAAATATCAAATCAAACCCAAAAGGTTAGAATGTTTTATACTGATTGTCAATTAACAAGTTCAAAAATCCGATTTTTGCACAAAGAGGCTAAATCTAAACACAAATATTTACAATGTGACACATATAAATTATTGCATAGCTGCAATCTATGAAACGTATGCCTTAAATTGGCTAGTGTGTAGCAGGGGTGTAGTACAAATGTAAAAAGACATCCAAATTACACATTCAAAAATACAAAACACAGACTGAACTATATCATGTATTATGCATAACAAGATACAGTATTTCTGTAATGTTCAGCATCATTTTATGCTATGTAAAATGTAATGTAAAACTTGCTTCAATCATTATTCATTACACTTAATATAGGTAACTGAATCTTAAAAAAGCCAGATTTACTAAACTGGTTCCAGAACAAATAATCTCATGTTAACTGTATGCCTAGAGAGCTGTTGCTTCAGATACACACTGGTTTACAACAAACAGCACTTTTGTGATGTACGAACACATGTATAAAGCCAAGAAGACTTGTGTCTTCAAGACATGATTTGTCATGAAGACGACGTTTGTGTAAATATTGTTTAAACCAGTTCTGACTGTCTTGTGACAGAGTCCTCATGACATCACTGTCTGGCTATCTAGGAGTAATACTTTCATTATCTGAACCAGCTTATCTGGTATGGTTTATCAACTTAACAATGGTTCACAATAAAGGACACAGAGTGTATATAAGTATAAAATCATTTTAGAAAAGAAAACTAAAAGCGAATTGGCATGTCTTTAGCCTTTTAGAGTTACAGATCCTATAAAAATCATAGTTATATAGCAGGACCCTGAGAAAAATGCTTTCTTAATTGAAATGATACAGCTCTGCTGTGTGTGGACAATTCATTTCAGTTTTTTCTATATTTAAGAGACTTCTTTCAAAAACAAACATCTTAATGATTCCAAACTTTTGACTGTAAATTGTATGGTGTATACATATTTCAATTCAGAGGTTAATCATCTGATCGTCACCAACATCATTTTACATGAAATTTAAAGGTGCACTCAGTATTTTTCCAAACAGTATTTGTTTAACAAATAATACACATAAAGAGATGGATTATACTTAATAAAAATCTGTTTAAAATCTCACACGAGACTAAGGCTCCAGTCATATCAGTAGCATAATAAAAGCTGTTATATTTTACATGGAGCAGGTCTAATAATCACATGACCAGCTGAATACTAGTTTTATCTTGCTAACCCAGCTGTTATCCGACACCTTCGCTCATGGAATAACTAAGTCAAGTGAATTTCTACAACAGAATCAGTGAGATTCAAGAGCCTTTGCTTTTACGTGATGCTGCAACTACGCCACTAGGTATCAGTATAAGACGTCTGCCGCGTCAGTCAACACAACATAAACGTAACCTAAACGGGTGCACCTTTAAAATATTGAAATATCATTTTAAACGTAATACAATTCAATTAAAGATATGGAAAATTGTAATGCAATTCCAACTAACAATTTTCTATCATAGCATGTAAATAAAAAAAATAACTGTAATTCCATCTGTATTTTTAAGGTCCCAAAAGTCCTACAAAAACAAAGGCACTTTCGCATAAATCACGAGTAGTGTTTTATACTACCAACTTCATCTTAATTACAACAAACTAATAGTGCAAGTAGTACACTTACTGAAATGTGTCCTGAGAAAGACCCCAAACTAATACTATATGGAAAATCGTAATGCAATTCCAACTAACAATTTTCTATCATAGCATGTAAATAAAAAAAATAATAACTGTAATTCCATCTGTATTTTTAAGGTCCCAAAAGTCCTACAAAAACAAAGGCACTTTCGCATAAATCACGAGTAGTGTTTTATACTACCAACTTCATCTTAATTACAACAAACTAATAGTGCAAGTAGTACACTTACTGAAATGTGTCCTGAGAAAGACCCCAAACTAATACTCCTGTGTGTCAGCTGACATATTCTGCATCCTCTCCACCATGAAAAAACACAGCGTTCCTGTGAATCCCATGACGACCATCACGAGGAGCTGCCAGGTCAGCAGTATATAACCACTGTAGAAGAACGCCACAGCTGCAAAAATAGACTGAGAGAGGGACTGTATTATTGACACACTGAATCGAATTCATATTGAATACACTTCACTTTATTTATTGGCCACTGGAACTATAAATGCAGTTTATTCATCAAGAAAGTTATGGGGTAAACTCTATCTGCCAAAGTTAAGGGAAAACTAAAAAGCTTTTAATGAAGCACAGTATTATTTTTTCGAACTTTCAGAACCTTATTTTAGTTTCTAAATACTAATCAGATATTCTACTGACATAAACCAGCAGTTCTCAAATTCTCAAAACACCACGCCTAATCAGATTAAGTACCATCATCCATGCAAGTAGCCTATACTGCACGAATGTCGGCTATGCATTAGTCTACTGATTAGATCCACAAAGATACATAGATACACACAAGTCTGTGTAAATGTTATTTTTAATGATATTTTTTCTTGATATATGTCATTTAGTTATTATATAACACTCAAACACACACTTTTCTTAAAAGAAGTCTCTTATGCTCACCGAGGTAGTATTTATTTGATCAGTAAAAACAGTAATGATGAGAAATATTATTACAATTTAAAAATAACTGTTTTATATTTTAATATATTTTAAAATGTAATTCATTCCTGTGATGTCAAAGAATTTTCAGCATCATTACTCGAGTCTTCAGTGTCACATGATCCTTCAGAAATCATTCTAATATGCTGATTTACTGCTCAACAAGCATTTCTTATTATTATCAATGTTGAAAACAGTTGTACTGCTTAAGATTTGTATAAAAACTGATACATTTCTTCAGGGTTCTTTGATGAATAGAAAGTTTAAAATAACAGCATTTATTTGTGGTAGAAATCTTTTGTAACATAAGTGTCTTTACTGTCACTTTTGATTAATTCAAGTCCTTGATCAAATAAAAATATTAATTTAATAATAATAAAAATAAAAAAAACTTCCTTACACAGTGTCTATGGCCCCATATTTTCCGACACAGTATTATGCAAGCAAACTGGCCTGTGTTTTCTTTGATTCAATAACACAGCAGGCTTGTTGATATCAAGCAGAATACAATTTTTAAAAATGCAGACTGTCGTTACCTGTATGAATTTGAATATAGCAAAGGCTGGTGCACTCTGCTCAGCAAACGCCCGGCCCACAATGCTGTAGAGTTGAGTATTGAAACAGCTGTCCCCAAGACCCAGCAGGAAGCTGCACAGCAGGGCGATGGACACGCTACAAGTGTGAATAAATGAACACAGCGCCATCAACAATGCAACACTGCACTCTTTAGGAAACAAAATGTAGCTCAGCAGATGATCCAAACAGCTTATATTGCATTCAGTGTATCTTTTTTTTATCAATTAATGCATTCCCTGCCAGTTTTTGGTTTTGTTTCAAATTATTTTGTAGATCTCTCTTAAATTATTATTGTACCTTGGTACCAGATATGGCTTATGTTGTGAGCTTGTTTGGAAAACCACAGGTGCGTCATCTGGTATGTTGAGGAATATCAAGTAGAAGGCCACAAAGTGCACAACCATTCCTAAGAAGACAACTGAAGTGCGCCTGAAACGGTTATTCTTCAATACAAGGCCAAACAATCCTCCCCCTGCAAACAAGAGACAACATCTAATCAAGCTCCAATCCTATTAAAGTACCTGCCCAGCTTGTCTTTAGATGTTCATACTACTAAAATTGACATCTAATTGTCCACACTTCATACTTCTGCAAACTGAAAGTGCACTGACCAACTATTTCTCCGATTCCCACCACAATGCCTGAAATGCCAATTAAGCCTTTTGCTACATCGCCAAAGTGTGTCGTAGCTCCAATGCAGGTTCCATAAACGCCACTGTAAAATGACAGCTCCAAACCTTCAATGAAACAGCAGCAATCAAAACATACATCATGCTCAAATGTTCATGGAATTAATGGCTGTTTCCTTTAGTGATGTCCTTACCACTGTATGCCATGCAGAAACTTAATAGCAATATGGTTTTTGTTTTGAAGATTTCCAAAATCGTCTCTAAAGGAAAAAAGACAAAAGCAATAAATCAGTAAATCGATCAATCAATAAAGAAAATGGGTTTGAATAAAACAACAATTAACTGATGAACCACTACAATGGATGACCAATTTGTATAATTACTCCTTGAATAATTCTTTAATAAAATTGTTTTATAAAAAATAGCAGATCATGTTACAAATGTGAAAATTAAGCCATATGAACTTACTAAACTGTGTTTTCGCTTCTGTCACAGCAGATGTTGCTCTTTGTTTATATCTAAAATTACACAACAAATTATATCAGCGACCAATGAGAATTCAAACAATAAGTATCTGCAAGTAGCAATCACCATCGTTTTCAAACAAAAGTTTATGAATTCATTTATAGCTGGGGTTATCATGGAGTTACATCATTTCCCGTAATTATTAGACATTAAAAACCTATTAAATTATTTGTTGTATTTTATTAATTTATTTTTTGCTTTTGTTAAAACGAAGAATATAAAACCACACATTAAACTTTTTTTATTTTTTTTTGGTGCTGGTACATATCGACAGGGCAAGTATTAATCTGAATTTCTGGCCAGATTGGGAAGCAGAACAAAAATCCTTATTGTTGGATCTGTGAAAGGAAATGTCAAACTTTTTTGTTTTTGGTGCAAAGTGGAAACTCTCATTCAACATCATCATTCACTAAATGAATGAGTGAATTTACTTCAATCTTGCCGATAACAGAGACTGGCCCTCCTCTTCAGAGAGAACCTCTTCCTGCTGACAGACCTTCCTCAATGCAAGAAAACTTAGTGTCCCGAGTGCTGAGATAACCAGCAGAGCAGTAAACATAATCCTTCTGTCTTTATCTGTGGGTAAAATATGTGACAGAAAAAAAAATGTACACACACATTAGAGAAAAAAACAATTTATTCTTAAATTTTGAAATATTTTTGTCATTTGAGAGTTAGTATATAGTTAGCAGAGATTAAATAAGTGCGGCTTAACTTAAGTTAAATCAAAGAGTGAACACAATCAAGTTGCTTTTATCAAAATATGATTTTTCAAACCATCATGTTACCTGTAATTTCAGTTTTTCCTTTCCAATCAAAATAAATGTATAGATTTCCAAACAACATACTGGAAAGAAAACACATATAGAATTTTTCATACAGGAATCATGGACAGTTTTAAGTGGTTAAAACATAGCTCTTGATGGTTTTACTGATTTGGTTAGTAAGTTTGTATAACTCCTCCAATATGACTTTTTTCTTCAGTTAAACACAAAAGGAGAGTAATATAAATAATATAAACATTATGTTAAACTAAAACCACTGTCATTTTTTTACATTACTTAAAAAAATATTTTTTAACTTAAACTAGCTGCCAAGGCAACATGACATCTCTTTGCCATGTAGTTTAACATGATGTGCTAAAATAACTAAAACTAAAACTGAAATAAAATTAATAAAAACTATAGACATATTAAAAAACAATAACAAAAACACACAACAAAATTACTAAAACTAACTAAAATTACAGTGAAAACAGCAAATGTAAAAATTAATGCCAATTAATAATATTATTAAAATAATATAATATATAATAATATTAAAAATATTAATCTCAATGATATTAAAATACCAAGTTAACACTGAAACATACATTGGAATATAGAGTAATTTGGACTGTATTTATGATGTTCTTGTTTTATTTTTAAGAGTATGGCAGTTTACATTTATTTTCATTTTATATGGACAAGACAAAATTAGACATTCTGTCTAATTTATCATCTTTGTGTTCTTTCACAGAAGAAAGAACATAACACAAGTTTGGAACAACAGCTATTATGTTTGAGTGAACTATGCCTTTAAGAGATGCATATAGTTATTAATCTGAATGCTGCTGATGAATATCTATTGCTTTGACTCCTAACCTTCCATATTAGTTTACTGTTGATGATCACAGACAATTAAGGGTAATCTGTTCAAGTGAATCTCAGATTATAATTTCAGGTTAATTGTGCATCAGACTGAGCTCTGTGTGAGTGTTTGCAGCTGTCTCTTCCTGACCTGCACTGCAGTAAAGCCCAAAACAATCCTGTGTTCCTGTTGATGGTGGAAGCATCAGAGTTCTCCACCAGAAAGTGCCCTTGAGCTGTCCAAAGCACTGTGGATAGAAAAAAGGCAGGTTGCACCAATTAGAATGATTAAAACATGAATTAATGCACTACTTAATATTAAACCCCTCTTAGCAAATAAGTAATTAAAACCTTTAACTGTCATTTAAACTATCGCCTGCGATTCATTTTGACTGACCATATTGGATTCACCAGTGTAACAAAACAATGCAACTATAGTACCTTTTTGGAGTGACAACTATAACCTGCCTTAACCGTATTGCTTAAGTGGGTGAAGGAATTAAAAAATGTGAAACATCTACTTCTGTAGTAGTGTGTCCTGTACATAAAAGACTAACCACACCAACTGAGAAAAGTTACAAGTTTTGTATTTAATGAGAAAAATATTTAATTATTTATGTGGTTAAAGGAATAGTTCTGATGAACAACTCATCTGAATCTTGGTCTGAGGGTGATAATTAAAGGGGTCATATGATGCTGCTAAAAAGAACATTATTTTGTGTATTTGGTGTAATGAAATGGTTTTGGGGGAACTATTCAGTCAATTATTAGCTGGCAAGTGATGAAATATTTGATGTGAAATACACTATGAGTGTGATTGTGTGTTTTAAATATCTACTTACTGGCTGCTCCGATGCCAATTACTACTGATGTGAAATAAAAGGACCATGTGGATGGAATGATGAATACAGCTATATAACCACTGAAAACACACAGAAGTGAGAAAACGGTGGCATGATGACTACAAGATGAACAGTCAGACAGAAATCTGAGATACTTGCCTATAAAGAACTCCACTCAAGAACATGGTAAACTGTGGTCCAATTATTGCAACGATAATGGGAGCTAACACATTACAGAATGAAAAAACTCCATATATTATTCCAAGGCTGTGAAAAGAAAAAAGGGGGGAAAAAATGTTGAATATCCCATTTCAAACATATTTTCATAATATCTACACCTAGAGTTTATTTTACCTTCCATTTCTGACATTAAAAAATGTGATATGATTTGTTAGCCTCTACTTCTCTTGTCATATTGCACTGTGAAATAATGCACCATTTGCATTTCTTTGTCACAATTACAAACTCACCAGCGTTCAACTGACTAAAATTGCAAATGGAAGTTTAATTGCTACCTTAAATTTTAAGTCAAACTGGTGCCAACCTATATATACAGTGATGAGTTCTTCACACTTTTTCAACCACTTAAATCACTAATTACAATAATCTAATTATTGATGAAGAAAACCGAATTAAAGCTATGAAGGCTCATTAAATTAAGTAAAAATGACATAATGATTTTTTTTTTACAGTGCAATGTATTATATTTACATATCCATCATAAATCTCTAAATTATGAATATGAGATGTAGAAAAGGTGAAGGACTGAGATCTTACCTATGATAGCCACTCCCAGTGAAGTTAGTGCTATTCAAGCTTTTCACCACTGTTTGCTAAAAGGAAATAAATAAATCAACAAACTTTTTGTTGTTGAACTAAATAGCCCTGTAACGTGACAAATAATTTTTTTTTTAATGTTAAATAAATAATTAATGTTGTAAACATGAAGTCCTTAAAAACTACATGTATTAAAAAAAGAATGATAAAAAATGCTATTTAAGGGTTGTACATGAAGCATGTTTCACTGCAAGACATGTTGATATGTCAACTACCCTTATGTCATCGTGAATATTTTAAAGACGGTTCATTTTGCACTACAACTTTCAACACATCGATCAACCTTAGAGAATATTTTTTTGAATCTTATAAGACATCCTTTCATGGTTAAATTGAGTTTGTGGGTTTTGTGTGGGGTGACTGTGAGGTTAAATGAGTCCACAGTGACATTTGAATTTGTTCCTCCCATTAGTCATGCAGGATAATTCATTGACTGATGGGGAAAATCAAAAACAGGAGAAGCGCCTGACCCAGATTTATCTCAACAATACACTGTTTTCATCACTGTTTCTAACTGAAAAAGTGAATGTCGTTTTTCACAAAAAAAAACAAACTTGCCTTTCACCATGGTATTGTTTCTACAATAAAAATGTGTGAATAAAATGACTATAATTATGTCTGAAGGACATTTTATCGTGGCAAAATAACTTTAGCTTTTACTCTATTTTGGTAGAAACTGTTGCTAATTAAAAACTTAAAACTGCTAAGTAAACTTAAGTTTTGGCATAAGTACGGCTAAAATTTCAGTACAACAAAATAAACATTTCAAAGATATTTTCAAGCACAGCAGCATAATGAAGCATGCCATCCTACCATACATTTCAGTCTATAGTTTATAGCATGCAATAAGAATGAAACACAACTTACTTCGATATTACCACAGGTGGTGAAGGCTGTAAAAATGAGCAAAAATCCTATTCCCAAAATAACAACATTATATGTCCTAATATCCGCCATCCTCAGCTCAACTAAATCCTCATGTAAGACGCAAGAGTTTCAGCGAGTGTATCTTGGTCCATGTAAATAAAACCAGCATCCAGGAAACAAACTGGTAGAAAACAAACCGAGTAGTTGAGTAATTAGGGATCCTACAGCACGTGTATTACACTATAATTGCATTGCATTATATCCATAACAGTAGGCCTAGTTAAACGTTAGCGAATACAAGTTGGTGGTCACAGAAGTATCGGTATTTAATAAATACCTCAATATAAAAGCACATATACATACATATGTTTAGGTTTTATATATATAAAACCTATGTACAGTATGCTGCTTGGATTTATTGTGTAAAAATGTTGCTTCAAGATGATTTGATAAATTCTCTATATCGATGAGCTATTTAATACATTTTAAGTTTAATGAGCGACCACATAACCTTTAGTTAGCCCACTCAGTTATTCCAGGTTAGCTACAGCACAGTGCTAGTTACACATGCTGTCAATAACACTGTATCACTGCAATAACTTACCCTATTCACAAAGCCAAACTTTAACACCCAGTTGCTGTTGTTGCTGCATCAGTCATGCTTGATCTTTAAAATCAGCAGCCATTCACTGTATGAACATTAGGATGTGCGTGAAATGATCTCTATACTTGTTTATACTAAAGTTGTCGATTGACTAAGCGCTGAAAGATCACCAACCCCTCAAGGTAAGGTAGGGTAAGTTTACGCATAGATCGTCAGTAGATCTATATGCAATATGGCTATGGCAAGCCAACTGCATATTGACTTTTTTATTAATTCAAAATATTCCCAGCGTTACTCGTCGTAATTGCATTTTTATTACTAAAAATGTAATTACAGAGCTCTACAATTAAATTCTTACTAGTAAAATTACAATTAGAGAGCTCTCTAATTCAATTCTTATTTGTAATAATTATGATTAGAGATCTGTCTAATTCATTTATTACTAGTAAGAATTCCAATTAGAGATCTCTATTGAATTTTTATTAGTCATATGTCTCCATTGACTTCCATTCATTTTTAGTTACAGAGCTCTACAATTGAATTCTTACTACACTCTAAAAATGCTGGGTAAAATAGGGACAAACCCAGCAATTGGGCTGTTTTGACCCAGCGGTTGGGTTAAATGTTTAACCCAACCTTCTGGGTAGTAACCCAACCACTGGGTCAAAACAACCCAATTGCTGGGTTTGTCCCTATTTTACCCATCATTTTTAGAGTGTAGTAACAAGAACAATTAGAGAGCTCTCTAATTAAATTTTTACTAGTAAGAATTTAATTGTACAGCTCTGTAATTAAATTCTTACTAGTAAAAATGCAATTACGACAAGTAACGCTGGGAATATTTTAAAGTCCGCGTGAATAGTGACGTATTTCCAGCTGAAACGGAATATTGAATAGAGGGCATGGTTTTATTTTTGCGCTCCTCCTCTCTGTCTCTCACTCATAGCAATCTAACCGTTAGAGGGGTGTGTTTAAGTATATTCTGCCCAAGCCGTCAAACTGACGTCATCAGAAAAGGAATGCCATTCCAGAGCGGAAGTAAATGTTCAGATTTTGATTAAAGATTACGAAGACAAACAATTTTTTTCAGCGGATTAACTTGCACGGATTAATTGTTCACATCATTACTAGCAATGTGCGCTAGTAAAGTAAATAAAGTCCATTTTGATTTCATGCGGACTTTAAGCTAAAATGGCTTGCCATACACCGAACGCAAGTCAATCACTATTATTTGGAAATCATCAAACGTTGATAGGCTACGTCACATCTGGGATCCTCGTTAAGCTATTTTCTTTGTGAATTTCAACAAAGAATGCAACATTTACAAGCAAAAAGACAATAGCCTAAACAAAATATTCTAAGAGGGTCACAATACATGAAATTCTTAAATTGTTGTATTACACAGTAGGTCGTATAAGTAATTTGAGTTTTTTTTTAAGAATAAACATTTCTTGAAATGTATTTTAAATTAAAATGTATGAATGTCAACTTTCGCAAGAAATACAAATTATGAAAAAAAGTTTATTTTTAAAGTTACTAAAACATTTTTGCTAATAGGGGATACATTCCTGTTTACAAAATTACAAAAGTCAATGCTTTGCAACAAACACAATTCTAAAATAGATGGGCACGTGTGATGACAAAGGAGAAATTGGGTGTAAAATACTGTCATTAAACTTAATAGTTTACTGGATAGTTTATGATATAGTTTATGAATAATTTTAAAAGAAACTACAACAACTTTTTTTGGGCATACGATTTTTTTATTTTATTATTATTATTATTATTATTATTATTATTTTGTCGAATAACTCATAATTATATCCATTCTGTATCACTGAATGTATGGTTCCAAAAAATTCCTCGTTATGTTTCATACACCAGATTTTAAAATCGCAAAGTCACTACGGGAAGTCGCACAGCTCATTCTATGACAGCACGCACTTTCCCAGAAGCCTTTCCTCATATTGTACACAATCATCATGGCGGCGCAGGATGGTAGGTAGCGTGAAAATGTACTTAAATGCCATTTACACAGTCTTTGAAGTGTTATTTATAGGCGCATTACATCAGTTCCAGTTATTTGACACTTCTATTACACTGAACGTACGTTCTTTTAACTTGTCAGGGTGAAATAATAGCTAGATATTCTGTGATTAGCCGTGTCGAAAACTTCGGCTGTGTCACAAAATCTAGTGAGCTGTCTACCTAGACAGCATTCTGAGGGATGCTGAAACGTTTAAACGTTTCTGGAACTTTCGATTAACATTTATAGGCATCGCGGAAGCGTTTGGAACCTTTAAACGAAGGTTCCAATCGAGCCAATAGCACCCAAAGATGCTGTCTAGATAGACAGCTCACTGAATTTTGAGACACAGACTTGATATGAGCTTGCGAATATTAGAACAGCGGGCTGGCTATAGTTACCGACGAGTCAGTTTTGTACGATTACAACACGGTTACAGTTATTGGTCTTAGTTGGGCACAAATGAGCATAAGGGAATTTACTAGATGTTTCTGCGCCTCTGAACAGCAGCTAGTCAGTTAGCTTTTAAAACCTGTATACTAGAGACGGTCTAGTTAGGACTATTTCAGAAGTAAAACATACTAGTAGTGGGTGGGAATCTAGAATAAACACTTGAATTCAGCTTTTATCTAAAATTGAGAGAGTTACCTAGTTTCCTCAAAAGTGTTAATGTTAGCTATATATCTTATCAGTTATAAAATATTGCCCCATGAGGATTTGTTTGTTTTATTTTAATGCTTTAATACTAGTTTGAAATTGTCATATCAGTACTCTGAAACAGGTCAACATTTGCGCATTGAAAACTACATTTCCTTATCAATACGATTAAAAAATCTTTCTCATCTGATAATTGTTCCCACAGGAAATGAGGTAGCAGGAATGGAGGCTGAGGTCACACAGAAGGTACCAGAAGTGCCATGCGAAGCTGCTGGACAAGAAGATGCAGCAGGGACTGAACAAGCATCTCTTACCGATGGTGAAAGCACATCGGCTCAGCCTGCTGCTGTCAGCAACGGAGAGGAAAGTGAGGAGGGGAAAGAGATGGTGGAAGTGAAAATCATTTGGAACAAAAACAAATATGACCTTAAAATTCCTTTAGATGGCACTGGTGCTAAGCTGAAAGAGAAGATTCACACTCTCACTGGTAATTTGCATGAAAGTTGTGGTTGGATGGCATATATGCTTTATGGAACACATTTCTGTCTTGGTTTTCTCATTCTCATCATCTCATGTCATTTAAACCTGCATGACTTGTGTGTTTTACAGAAGTCATACAGGTGAGACCTTGGAGAACGTTCCTGTTTGTTCTCTTTTGTGGATAAATTAGAGATAAACTAATTAAACATTTGGACACATGCAACATAGTCAAGTCACATTTACTTTTATAGCGCCTAATGCAATACAGATTATTTCAAAGCTGCTTCACATTAATAAACAGGAAAATAACTGCTAATGTTGTAAAATTCATCCAATTATGAAACAAATTCAATTCCAGCTGTAAAGCAGGTTTACAGAAGACAATAGAGTCTGTCATCATCCATTATCCAATTTAATTGCATGTAAAGATATATATATATATGTATGTATGTATGTGTGTGTGTGTGTGT